ACTGTAACCTTGGCTGGGCGTGGTGGCCCACGCCTTTAATCCCAGCACTTGGGAGGCAGAGGCAGGTGGATCTTAGGGAGTTCAAAGCCAGCCTGGTCTACAGAGTGAGTTCCAGGACAGCTGGGGAGCTGGGGCTACAGGGAGACCCTGTCAAAAAAGACCAAAAAATAAAATAAAATAAAATAATAAAAAATAAAAAATAATAAAATAAAATAGGATGGCATAGTAGCCCCTGCCTGTAATGTCAGTGTTCAGAAGGATCACTGGAAATGTGAGGTCAGCCTGGGCTACACGACAAGATCCTGTCACGAAACGCCAACCCTCTCAGGGAGACCCTGTCTCAAAAAAGACCAAAAAATAAAATAAAATAAAATAATAAAATAAAAAATAATAATAAAATAAAATAGGACGGCATAGTAGCCCCTGCCTGTAATGTCAGTGTTCAGAAGGATCACTGGAAATGTGAGGTCAGCCTGGGCTACACGACAAGATCCTGTCACGAAACATCTGAAGCCAACCCTCGCTTAGTGTGGATGGTAAGTACTTCTGCAGAAGTGAGTGGGGCCCATTGGCCGGCCGCACCCTCCCCACCTGGGACCTTTACAGAGGTGCTGTCTAGAGGCTCAGAAACCCCTCAGCAGATCAGCTGACGGTCAGATAACTGACATGAGGGAAGTCACGCCCACCGTGGGTGCCATGCACTGGGGCAGCTAGGCTCGCCCTACATGAAGTCCTCTCTGACTGTCCCATGCTCATGGCCACCTTCCCTCACATGGCATCCGGGCCCCAGCTGCCCTGCACCATCTGCGCTGGCTCCCACTGTCGGCCCCACGCTTTCCGGGCGTGGAGCCGCGTCCTCACGCTCTGCTGTCCCTCCTTCTCAGAGCGCCAGCGCTATTTTGAGGATTATTTGTTATTTTCTGCCACAGAAATTTTTTGACATTTTCAAAAATAGCTTGACTAAGAAAGAGCAATAGAAAAAAAAAAAAAAAAAAAAAAAAAAAAAAAAAAAAAACGCACAAAAATGTAAATGATGAAACAAAATAAAATGAAGAAAAGTAAATTTCAGCCAGGCTTGGCTCGGATATGCCCGTGCCCTGAGGCTCTGTGACGATCACTTAACCTCCTTTGGCCTGTTTCCTCAGCTGTAAAAATGGAGGTAATTAGGCCGCCTCATGTTGTGGTGTGAGGGCTGGAAAGGGTGTGTGCAACACACACCATGCCTCAGACAGTGGCGTCCCGAAGAGTCATGACAGCTCTATAAGTGGTGGTGTGGCGGGACCATTAGCACAGCAATGGTGGTCATGGTGTTTGATCCCAGAAGTCCCCTCATTCCAGGAAGGAACTTTATGGGGTTTCACAACTCCGTCTCAAAGATAATCATACTCCAGCACCAGCCTGGCACAACTTAAAGGATGCTATGCCCTGGCTTTCCTCCCTGCTGGCACCACGCTGTGCTCCTGGGCACAGGAGTGGATGTACCTGTCCATCTTGTTCCATCCCTAAACAGAGCTAGCATGGTATTCAACGCACACAACAAAAATAAACACAGAACTGAGCTGCCGTGACAGGAAGCTCTCTTCTCACAAACATGTGCACGCTTCAGTTTGGACAATTCTGGAGATGGGCGTGGAGGGGAGAGGAGAGGACTGCTCTGTCCGAGTAGCCATGAGGAGCAGGATGGAGGAAGAAGAGGCTCAGGAGGGGAGAAGGGGCCCAGCGTGTGCAGCATAGACCCAGTGAGGAACACCTCCTCCTGCGGTGAAACCCAGTGCCTGGTGCCCTGGGCACAGTGGGCGAAGCTGTGCCTAGCAGGACACACATCTGACCCCTTTCCTAGAGCCTCTCACCTTGTTTTCTGCAGACTGGTTCCGATGTGTGGCTTCCAAGATGGTGATGAACTGTCGGTACTGGGGGTTGGTCCAGCGGCCGAGGCCTGGTAGACAGGACAGAAAACAGTATTAGAAAAACTGGGCTGCCAATTACCTAGGAGTTAAGAAAAAGAGTTGGGCTGGGTGTGGTGGCACACACCTTTACTCCCAGCACACTGGAGGCACAGGCGGGCAGATCTCTGTGAGATCAAGGCCAGCCTGGTCTACCTAGTGAGTTCCAGGCCAGCTGGGGACAGAGGGAGACCGTTTCAAAAAGATCAGAAAAAAAAGAGAAGAGCTGGAGGTGGGATAGAGGGCCCTGGAAGGAGAGATGAGTGGAAACAGAGCCAAGGGCTGTGAAGGGATCAAAACTTCTCTCCTCCACACCCAGCAACCGGCTGACCATTCTTCCTTCGAGTCTTCAGTTTTTATTAGTTTTTGTGGGTTTTATTTTTTGTCTTTTTGAGACAGGGTCTCCTTGTAACCCCAGCTGTCCTGGAACTCACTATGTAGACCAGGCTGGCCTCAAACTCACAGAGATCCGCCTGCCTCTGCCTCCCAAGTGCGTGGTTTCTATTTTATTTTATATAATTTAATATTTATTATTTTTATTTTATGTGTGTGAGTGTATTGCCTGCATGTGAGTGCACCCATGTCATGCAATGCCACGGAGGTCAGAAGAGGAATTCAGATTCCCCTGGAACTGGGGTTAAGGATGGTTCGCAGCCGCCATGTGGGTGCTGGGAATCGAACCGGGGTCCTCTCTAAGAGCAGTCAATGCTCTTAACCACTGAGCCATATCTCCAGCCCCAGGTTTTCTTTTTTAAATTAAATGAAGTTAATTATTAGTGTGTAAGTATGCAGGCACACGTTTGCTTTACAGTACATGTATGGAGGTCAGAGGACAACTTTCAGAAGTTGGTTTTCTACCTCCACTATGAGATCAGGTTTCCAGGTTTGTGTAGCAAGCACTTTTACCTGCTAAGTAATTTTGCTGACCTTGGTTTTGTTTTTTGAGATGGGAGTCTCATGTATCCCAGGACAGATACAGCTCCTGGCCCTCAGAAAGCAGGCATTGTGCCTGGGGCTGAGGTAGGAATGTCAGGGGACTGCGTGCTACAAAACAAAACTAGGAAGAACTGGAACTCAGCATCCCCCAGGGTAGCGCCCACAACAGTATGATAGTGAGGAACGGAGGCGAGCTGAGAGCCGTTTCTGAGGAGTGCAGCCATTTATGCCAAAAAATGTAAACGTAGCCAGGTGTGGTGGTGCACCTGCAATCTGGGCACTCAGGAGGCAGAAGCAGAAAGCCTTGGCTCCCTAAACACTGCCTTCACCCGCTGTCATCGTATGCAGATCCTGGGCTCAATGGTTTATTTGCTTTTTAGGGGGTAAGACATATGCACAGAAAACAGATGATTTAAAAGGTGCAAAGTAAACGTGACTATCACCCAGTTCAAGAAAGAAAACACTGAGGCTGTAGAGATGGTTCAGCAGTTAAGAGCACTTACTACTCTTGGAGAAGACATGGGATGGACTCACCCACATCAGGGGGATCACAACTGCTTATGACTCCAGCTCCAGGGGATCTAATACCCTCTTTTGGTCTCCTTGGGCACTGTATGCACATATGAAAACATACGTGCACATACGCACATAAGTAAAAATAAATCTTTTTTTAAAAAAAGAGAAAACTGCTGACCACTGTGGTAACTCCAGCACTGAGGAGAGACAAGAGGATCAAGAGTTCAAGGCTGTCCTGAGTTACATGAGACCCTGTCTCAAAAAAAAGCAAAATGGACTGGTGAGATGGCTCAGCAGATAACAGTGCTTCTGCCAAGCCTGAAGATCAGAGTTCAATCCTCAGAACCCACATGGTGGAAGGAGGGAACTGACTCTGGCAAGTTGTTCTCTGAACACACACACACACACACACACACACACACACACACACAGAGTTTTAAAATTTTTTAAAAAAGAACAAAGTTACTTCCTACCCGGGGTCTCCCCAGCCTGTACCTCTCCACCCCAGTTAATCCCTCACCAGATTGTCAAGGTAACCAGGGTCTCTATAGGGACTTAACACACACATATGCATCCTTCCTGAACTTGATTTACTTACATAATTACTATTTATTGAGACAGGATCTGAAACTTACCATCTACCTGCCTCAGCCTTACCCATGTAAGGTAAGGGATTACAGGCCTACATGATCACACCGAGCTTCTCCTGAACTTCATATGGGTGCAGCATGCTGCTTGGGGCCTGCTTCTTCCCCATAACATTCTATCCGTGACCTGCAGTGCTGTGTAGTGTCTACAGCACAGCCACACCACATGACGTATTTGATGTTTGCAACCACTGTGGTTGTTTCCAGTTGAGAATTCTTAAACTGTTGCATGCTGTATTCTTGTTCATTTACATTGCTTACGCATACCTAGGAACTCCTCAGTGTACATAGACATGCATGGAGTTCTTGTGAAGTACAGCCATGTTTCATAGGTAACAGCAAACTGTTCTGTTCATTAGTTTTTCATACTTATGTCATAAGTGCATGAGGAAAAGCTCATAACTTTATACCTTAGATCATTCTCAGTTTTTCCCCTGCAGGGCCCAGCCCCTGTACATGCAAAAAGCACTTTTATGTGTCCAGTGTCAGATCCAAACAAGGCTCCTCTCTACCTACCTCGGAGGCAGGCCACACCTGCCAGCAGGAGCAGCAAAGTCCCAGCATAGTGAGAAAACGGCACCACTTTGGACAAACTCAAGTAACCTGGGAGGGGAGAGGGACACGATGAGGTCTCCACAGGGCCTCTTCCCAATCTGGACACAGCCTCCACCCTCACCCTCCCTTTGGGACAGCTATACTCTCAGAGAGAGAAGATGCCTGGTAGGAAAGGTAAGCCAAGCCATCTGCATAGGCCCCTCTTCGTCTTGGGGAGTTGGTTCATCTGCCAGTGACCTGCCCATTTCCTGTCCCACCACCTTGGAAACCACACTGACCTTTCCTGTATAAGTAGAAGGCGGCGAAGGGAGAGGAGTAATAAGAGATGGACCAGAAGACTGAAGCCTGCAGCCGAGAGACAGGCAATCAATACGACTGCGTGTGCACACACACACTGATCTGCCTAGGCTTAGGCTCTGAGCAAGGGGACAACCTGAGGACCATCGCACTGAGTACCCGCTCTGTGCATGACATCACACACACAGTAGGTACACAGACATCTGTTGATAGGTAGTGTGTCTGAGCATAATAGAGGTTGACATCATTTCCTCACATTTTTTTTAACTTTTTAAAAAAAATTTTATTTATTATTTTATGTGTATGCATGTAGGTAAGTGTACCCCTTGTTGTGCAATGCCCACAGAGGTCAGAAGAGGCTGTCAGATATCCTGGGACTGGAGTTACGAACAGTTGTTAGCTGCCATGTGGGTGCTGGGATTCAAACCCGGGTCTTCTGCAAGAACAACCAATGTTCTTAACTGCTGAGCAATCTCTCCAGTCCCCATTTCCTCACATTTCAAACACCAGGCTCTCTGTCTAAGCAAGTTAATCAAGCCTCCTCAGTTGGCCCAGCTCCGAATAGCCCCAGGCCTTGTCCCGAAGAGATGCACAAACGTCACCATAGGAACGCTGCCAGAGAGAACAGCTGTCTCTGCAGCCAAAGAGGTTAGTTGCCAAGGAGGACAGGTCACTGGGGACTTCGGGACTCAGCACCTGCAGATGGTCTCAAGAGTAAACATGTTTTCCTCAGGGCTCAATCTATCCCAGAGAAAGCTATGCTCCATACCAAGGGGGGACACCAACTGTGTGCACTTGGGATGGGTTGGTGTGTATGTGTTGGCAAGTTCTGCTATAGAGAGCCCAGAGCATCCCCCAGTCCCATGGGTGCTGCCTTCTCCCAGGCTAGGGAGGAGTAACGTCAAGAAGGCAGCTGGGTCTGACAAGAAGCAGCACATCGCAGATGTTGGAGCTGACTTACCAGTGCCAGGATGCTGTCCGCATGCTTCTCCAAGGCACGAGGCTGGTAATAAGTATCCTGCCGAACAGATGGCCTGTTAAGGACCCTGTGGCTTGACTGATCTTTCCTTCCAGAAACCCCAGTGTGCTCCACCTGGCTCTAGCCAATTTGGCCATTTCTCTGGGGATATCCCTGGACTCTGTAGAAGCCTCTTCCCTGACCCTAACCCTGATTTCTCAATTCTGACTGAGAAAACACAGGCTGCGGGACTTAGAAGCAAAAGTGAAACCAAGATTTGGGAGACTTTTGCTCCTTTTCCAAAACCCGGATTTAAATGGGTTGTCGTTCTGTGCATACGGGGAGAGGGGTTAGAGAAGAAAAGAAAAACGCAGTGACAGTTCTAAGAGGGAAAGAACAGCTTCTGATGGAAGAGTAATTTGATTCGAAAAGAATGTTGGCAGTCTTAGGGGTTACTGAATCTAATTCAAAACCAAATAAAAAGGGAAGAGAATATGTAGACCAGCCTACCACGAGCTGCAGCTTTTCTGAATGCAATAACCCTGGGGTTTTCAGGCCAGGTTTGAAGGGTGGGGAGATAAAGGCGGCTAACCGATTTGTACACGATGCACAACACACGATATGAAATGGACAGGTTAGAAGGGAAAATTAACAGAGCCTGGGGACGAGAGAAAAAACTGGAACTATGAATGCAAAACCCGCCAGTCCACGCAGGCTGTATCTCGCAGGACTTAACAGCATGAACCATGGCCGCGCAGAGTGGTGGATCGCAGAGAGGAAAAAGTAAGCGCAGTCCGTGGAACCAGCGCTGGTCGTGGAAGCCGCGCCGGGTGAAGGCGCCACCGACCACCCGCTTGACACGCGCCCCCCCCCCGTTCCCAGGAGTGGGCGCGCCCGGCGGGTCGCGGCCTGCAAGGGTTCGGACCGTACCATGCCCCGGCCGGGGGGGGCGCACGACTCACCCAGGAGCTGGAGGAGGGGGCGGTGACGACAGTGGGCGTCTCGGGCACGCCCGGCGGGGTCCGGTCCGGGTCCCGCTCCCGGTAGATCTTGTACAGCCGGGGGCCGAGGACACAGCTCAGCAGCTTCGCCATGGCCCCGGCTCGGGCCGCTGCTCCTCGGCCGCAGGTACCTGCCGGCCCCGCCCTCGGCCTTGGAGGCGCTGCGTGCCTGATGTCAGCACGTACCCGCTCCGCCCCGCGCTTGTGTCCGGCCGGAGGTTCATGGTGCGCGGGCAGAAGGTTCCGCGTTGTTGCGTCAGGGGGTGCAGCTCTGTTCGGAAATTATTTGGAGGAGCTCGCGGCTCCGAGACTTGGGAAATTCTTAGGCATGGTTACCTTATCATTATTCTCCCTATCCTTGTATCAGCACACTCTGGAGCGAAGAATCTGGAGCTGGGGGCGTTGCTCAAGGGCGCTTGCTTAGCGTGTTCAAACCTCAGCAACTAACACGCACAGAGTCCAAGGATGTATTCATTAAAAGAAATACCAGGTTCTCGCCGGGCGTGGTGGCGCACGCCTTAATGCCAGCACTCGGGAGGCAGAGGCAGGCGGATCTCTGTGAGTTCAAGGCCAGCCTGGTCTACATAGTGAGTTCTAGGGGCTACAGGGAGACCCTGTCTCAAAAAGACCAAAAAAAAAAAATAGCCAGTCATGGTGGTGTACACCTGCCATCCCAGAACTTGGAAGACAGAGGAGGCAGGCTGGAAAAATGGCTTAGTGATTAAGAGCGTGAGCTGCTCTTGCAGATGACCTAGGTTCCGTTCCCAGTATCCACATGGGATATCCATAATCCACTATCCATAATTCCAGTTCCAGGGAATCTGACACCTTTCTCTGACCTCTGCAGTCAACTATTGGAACTGCATGAAGGCCTGCCTCATGAGTCCTGCCTGCAGCAGACACCCATCCAGGTCCCCTGCTGCCCTTCTTGAGTAATAGCTGAAGACAGTCCTCAGGGTTCTGGAGGAGTCTATGCACAACATGCCAGGCAGCCACAGGAAAAGTCATTTGAGGTCACTCTTGAAGCACTGCCAGAGTGTATGGTTTTGTGGGGCATTCCAAGGAGGACGAAGCTTCAGGTTTTTTTTCTTTTTAATTTTATGTGTATGCATGTATTTATTGCCTGCATGTAGGTAAGCGCACCCCTGTCATGCAGTCCCCACGGAGGACAGAAGAGGAACTGGAGTTACGGTCGGTTGTTAGCTGCCATGTGGGTGCTGGGATTCGAACCCCGGTCTTCCGCAAGAACAACCAGTGTTCTTAACCCCTGAGCCATCTCTCCAGCCCCGAAGCTTCAGTTCTTTGACTCATGCCTGGTGTTTCACTGGTGGAAGAGAAACCACAGAAGGTACTCCTAGGCTGAGAAGAGGTAGACAGCTGGGACACTGTCTACACAGGAGCAGCTTGGACCAGTTCCTCCCCCCAATGCCAGAACCAAAAGATGGAGGTTCCTTTTTTCTCTGTAGACATGCAACTGAGTTTTATCTCCCAGTATTTCCATCCCCTCCAGAGACCCAGTGGCTCCAGCCCAGGGACTGTGGGCCTTTATCTGTGCCATGTTTCCTCATGGGAAACACCAGGTCTTGGAGCAGAACTTGGCAGCCTCTCCCCATGGCAGTCATAGCCCTCTTCCTTCTGTTCTTGTGTGGGCAGCTCCAGGCCACTGCAGGTAAGGGACAGGAAGCAAGGGACTGACTCTTCAGCTATTTGAAAAGCCTGGGAGGGACTGCTGCTCCTTCTCCTTAGAGCCTTCAGTAGGTATCCGATTTAAGACGGCAGACTTACCATGTTTGATCTCTCACTGCCGCTAGTACTGAGGAGACCCAAAAGTATTGGGGGCCCAGGTTATGTACAGTTTCCTCTTTTTTGAGACAGAGTCTCACTATGTACCCTGGGTGGCCTGGCACTCCGTATGTGGTCCAGGCTGGCCTGAACTCAGAGATCTGCCTGCCTCTGTCTTCCAAGTGCTGGAATTAAAAGCATGTACCACCATGCTCCATGTCCAGCCTTTTTTCCTTTTATTTTAGTTTTTATTTTTGTTTTATTTTATTTTTTTTAAGTTTCAGGTTCCTTAACTTTATTATTTTTATTTTTGGTTGTTTTTTGAGACAGGGTCTCCTGTAGCCCCAGCTGGCTTGGAATTCACTATGTAGACCAGGCTGGCCTTGATCTCACAAAGATCCACCTGCCGTGTCTCCTGAGTGCTAGGACTAAAGGCAGTTGCCACAACACCTGGCTTTAAAAAAGTATTCATTATTTTTGTAAAAAAATCTTTTATCTTTATTTTATGTGTATGAGTGTGTTGTCTGCATGTATGTAAGTGCACCCGTGTCATGCAATGCCTGAAAAAGTCAGAAGAGGGTGTCATATCCATTGGAATTGGAGTTACAGACTGGTGTTAGCCACCAAGTGGGTGCTGGTGAACCTGGGTGCTCTGCCAGAGCAACCAGTGCTCTTGACTGCTGAGCTGTCTCCTCAGCTATCTAATTATGTATTTTTTATTTTATGAGTGTTTTGCCTGCATGTATGTAAGAGCACCTGTGCACATAATGCCCTTGGAGACCAAAAGAGGGTGTCAGATCCAACTGATCATTGTTAGCCACCATGTGCTGGGAACTGAACCCAGGTTCTCTGCAAGAGCAGCCAGTGCTCTTTAACTGCTGAACCATCTCTTCAGCCCCAGTTTCCGGTATTTTTTTTTAATATAAGTACTAGGTCTGGGGATGTAGCTCAATGGGCAGAGAAGAGCACTTACCTAGTATGCATGAGGCCCTGGGTTTGATGTCCAGCCTAGAGTTTTGTCCTTAGCACCACATAAACCAGGCATGTTGGTCTAATCAGCACTTGGGAGGAAGAGACAGGAAGATCACAAGTTCCAGGTAATCCTCAGCCATACAGTCAGTTCAAGGCTATTCTGGGATACATGAGACCCTGTCTCAAAAAAAAAAAAAAGGTGTACTTATTTATTGACTTTTTTTTATACAAGATGAGAGTTGAGCTATGTAGTTGTGATGGATCATCTTCCCCATCAACCCGACTGCATTTAGAATCACCTATGCGACACATCTCAAGGCATGTCTGTAAGGACATTTCCAGAGACGTTTATCTCCTCTTCAGAGAGGAGGGAAGACCTAGCCTGAAGGTGGAGGGCACCATCCCACTGAATAAAAAGAAAAGGTTCTCCATGATTCATGCATGTACTTCCCATGGCGGCCAGAAGAGGGCGTTGGATCTCCTGGAGTTACTGACAGTTGTTAGCTGCCATGTGGGGGCTGGGAACTGAACCTGGGTCCTCTACAAAAGCAGTCAATGCTCTTAATCACTGAACCATCTCTCCAGCTCCTTTAATGGGTCTCTGTTGCTGTCTGTATCTATCTGTCTTTCTCTTTCTCTCATTCCTCTCTCTCTCCCTCTCTCTCCTTCCTTCCTTCTTTCCTTTCTTTTTTTCTTTCTTCCAACAGGGTCTCATGTATCCCAGGATGGCCTTGAACTCATTACATAGCTAAGGAGGACCTTGAACTTCTGATCTTCTTGTCTCTAGATCCCAAGTGCTGGGATTACAGGCATGTACCACCATGACCAATTTAGGGGGTTATCCAGTGCTGGGGATCAGAGTCAGGGCTTCGTGAATGCTAGGCAAGCACTCTATCAACTGAACTCTGAGCTCTACTCCCATAATTTTTTTTTCCCCTTTCAGTTTGGGATGGAACCCAGGGCCTCAGGCAAGCACTTTACCAACTGAGCTACACCCCTGCCCAACTCTCTCTGTAACTGTCACCTGAGAAATGTGCTTACCTGCTAAATCAGTGGTTAGGGACCCCCAGAGAGGAGGGAACCAGATAAAGTAGGGGCGTGCTGATGGGATGGAAGTCTCTGCTCTGACACAGCCATCTTTCCACAGACAGCATCCAGGCCATCTATGTAGTCTCAGGGGAGTCGATGGAGCTGCCGTGTCCTTCACCTCCCTCACTGCATGGGGAGCAGCTCCTGTCTTGGTTCCGCAGTCCTGCAACAAGCTCTTCCACCATTTTGGTGGCCCAGGTCCAAGTGGACAGGTCAGTCTCAGATCTTGAGAAACCTGAAAAGGATTCCAGGTTCAGACTCCTGGGAAACTATTCTTTATGGCTGGAGGGGTCCAAGGATGAAGATGCCGGGAGGTACTGGTGCACTGTGATGGATGAGCAACACAAGTACCGGAACTGGAGGGTGTACGATGTCTCCGTGCTCAAAGGTGATTTGGGGTATGATGTCTCGGGCCACTAGGACAATACATAAAGAACTGAGGAGTCCTTCTCTCCCACCAGGGTCCCAGTTCTCGGCCAAGTCTACAGATGGCTCCTTTTGCTCTGTTCTCCTGTGCTCTGTGGTCCCAGCCAGGCGTCTGGACTCTGTGACCTGGCTAGAGGGGAAGAATCCTGTGAAAGGACATCCTCAGTACTTTTGGAGTGATGGGGCTGCCTTGCTCTTGGTGTGTCCTTCGGAGGGGCTTTCTGACCCCAGGAGCCGTAGGCCAAGGACCATCCGCTGCCTCATGCCTCAGAACAAAAGGTTCAGCTTTAGCCTGGCAGGTAAACTTTGGGAGGATATGGAAAAGCGTTCCTCTGGCACATCCCTCATGGGTAGGAAGCAAATCAGGCCAGGTTGGGGGGTAACTTCCCTGGAGGGGAAAGCTTTTTTTTCTCATTAACCGAATCCATAACAAAGATGGATTTGCTAAGCCAGCTTTCTGATGGAATAGACTGGGAAGCGAGACCTATATTTTGGTGGGGTATACCATTGTTTAGAAATAAGTTGATCTAGGAGTAAGGAAAGAGCATAGTCAATAAAGTGCTTACAACACCAATATGAGGCCCTGGGTTCAATCCCCAGAAGTCACATAAAAATGTGAGGCATGATGATGCATTGTTTGTAATCCCAGCACTGGAGAGGCAAAGATAGATGGACCTCTGGGGCTCACTGACTAACTAGCCTGGCCTACTTTGCAAACTCCAGGCCAGTGAGATACCCTGTCTTACAAAATTAGGTCGATAACTCTTAAGGAACAATATCTGAGGTTAACCTCTGACCTCCAATGCACATGTATGTGCATGAGCACACAAACAGGCACAAGCCCACACACACCCACATACCTCCATACACGAAAGAAGATGACTGACCTGAGCTAAGCACAGTGGTACACACCTGTCACTTGGGAAGTGGAAGAAGATCAGGGGTTTGTGGCCAGCCTTTGTAACAGTGAGTTCAAAGCTGGCCAGACTATGACCCAGTCTCCAAAAAACAAAACAAAACAAATCATTAAAATAAAAGAAATAGGGGCTGGAGAGATGGCTCAGCGGTTAAGAACACTGGTTCTTGCAGAAGACCCGGGTTCGAATCCCAGCACCCACATGGCAGCTAACAACTGTCCGTAACTCCAGTTCCAGGGGATCCAATGGCCTCTTCTGTCCTTGCGGGCATTGCACAATACGGGTGCACTTACATACATGCAGGCAATACACTCATACACATAAAAATAATAAAAAAATAAAGAAAAGAAATAAGCCAGTCTGAGTCAGATACAGCAATACATATCTGTAATCCCAGCACTCAGGAGGCTGAGGCAGGAATTGAAGCCCAGTCTGGTCTACATGAAACCCTTTTTCAAACAAAAGAGAGGCTGGAGAGATGGCTCAGTGGTTAAGAGCATTGGAGCTCTTTCAGAGGACCTGTGTTCGATTCCCAGCACCCACATAATGGCTAACAACCATCCATAGCTCCAATTCTAGGGGATCTGATGGCCTCTCCTGACTTCCACAGGCATTGAATGACACAGGTGCACTTACATACATGCAGGCAATATACTCATACACATAAAGATAAAAATATTTTTAAAGAGGTAGGAAGAGGGCATTGGATCCCCTGGAAGTGGAGTTAGGGACAGCTGTTAACCACCATGTGGGTGCTGGGACTCAAACCTGGGTCCTCTGCAAGAGCAGTCAGTGCTCTTAACCGCTGAGTCATCTCTCCAACCCCAAAATAATAAAAATATTTTAAAAAACAAAACAAAGAAATATTCTAATCTATGGTATCTGTGGATGTTCCCATTGCAGACAGGAAGTAGATAAGGATTATTGCTAGGGACTCTGCTGAAGAAGAGATGTACTTATTGCTGATATAATGACCTATTCACAGAGAAAGCAGAAGAAAAATATATAACTGTTCTATAATAAACGGCCATTATATAGAGAGAAAATCTACTAGGTGTAGAATAGCCCATTTACAAGGCAGAAAGAGGAGCAAACGGTCATTGTTTCGGGAAACCAAGCAACTGATGGGCTTAGAGAATGAATGCACGATGTTGGCGGTGATGCTGGCTCCTGAGGTCAGGGAGAGACGACTGGCAATGAGCATAGTCACAAGGTGGTGGATGCTGGAGGCAGCTTCTAGAGTCTTCTACAGGAAGAGCCCACCAGACTTCGGAGAAGCAGCCCTTGACTCAGGGCCGCCCTTTCCCTAGCTGCTTCAAGAGAAGAGACCACACTCTTGTGGGCACCATCAGGGCATGTCGCTGTGGCCTTCCTGATCCTCCTTCCAGGCGGCTGCAGGACCTCTTATCATGCTCTCTCCATTGTTTTTGTCTTACTGTCATGACAGCACCCACGGATCCTTCTCCCAGTGTCTGCGCCTCTTTCCCGAGCTGGGATGTGCCCTGGATCCTGATGCTGTTGGTCACAGGGGTGCAAGGATTCATCATCCTGGCACTAGGGATTGTGCTCTGGAGGCGGAGGGCTCAAAGAGCTCAAGACAGAGGTGAGTCCTTCCCTCCCTCCGAGGTCACACGGATGTGAGGCAAAGAGCTGGGCTCACCTCTTCACTCTGGCTCTCTCTTCTTGGGGTAGGGGGAAGTGGTAGGGAGCACATCTCTGAGTTATCTAGGTACTTCTATGGCTCCTTCTCCCTAGATGCCTCGCTCCCTCACTTCAAACCTGAAATCCAGGTCTACGAGAATATCCACTTGGCCCACCTTGGGTAAGGAACAACTGAGGGACAGAGGCTTAGATCCCAGAGGGCCTGGACATGGGAGATTGTTGGTTGAAAATTGGGTTGGATTGCCTATGGGGACCCTGAAGAGGTGCAGAACAGAGTCCTAGCTTTAACATGACTTCTTGCTTTGCAAATCCCACAGCCCACCCACCCACAAGACCAGGTGATCTCCTGAAAGTGTGGCCTGCTGTCTGAATCCCTGGCATCTAGCACCTGAAGGATTCCCTGACAACCTTGGCAAGGGGTGTGGGGTTGAGGGTATGACTACTTCTGCAGGCCTCCAGAAGCCACCAAGCTGGAGGGGCAGGGACAACTGACGGGAGGGGGAGCATTGTTCTGTGATGTCACCTGCCAAAAGGTATGGTCTTCTCTCTTGATGCAGCCAGTGGAGGGTGGCCTTGAAGAAGTACTAACCACTCAGAAGTTAAGGGCACACACTGCTCTTTCAAAGGACCCAAGTTTGATTCTCAGCACCCATGTGGGGGATTCACAACCACCTATAACTCCAGCTTCAGGGGGATCTGACGCCTCTGGCTTCTATGGGCATCTGTACTTATGTGCACATACCCATACAGAGACATACACATACACATAATTTTTAAATTTTTAGGGACTGCAGAGATGGCTCAGCAGTTAAGAGCATTAACTTTTCTTGCAGAGGACCTGGGTTTAGTTCCCAGAATCCACATGAGGGCTAACAACAGCTTGTACGTCCAGTTCCAAGAGATCCAATACCCTCTCTGGCCTCTTTGGGCTCCTGAATCCACATAGTGCACATAAATTCATGCAGGCACACATACATGCACATAAAAAAATCTTAAAAAAAAATAAGTACCAGCTGGGCCACACCTTTAATCCCAGCACATGGGAGGCGGAGGCAGGTGAATCTCTGGGAGTTTGAAGCTAGCCTAGTCTACATAGAGAATTCCATGCCAGCTGGGGCTACAGGGAGGCCCTGTCTCAAAAATACCAAAAGAAGCAGAAGCAGAGGAAGACGAAGAGGAAGAAGAAGCAGCAGCAGCAGCAACAGCAGCACTGACTTTAGGGTAGCTATTGGGGTACAGAAGGAGTGGGGGTGGAGACAGAAAAATCCAGACTTGAACAATGGTGGAGCATCTGTCACAGAGGTTCTTGAGTATAAGTGGGTGGGGGGACTGGGATAGAGAGGGGTTGAGAGACTCAGGTGCAGAGTAAGAAGGATAAAAGCCCTAAGTCAGAGAATGGAGGGATAGGGAAAACAGAAGAGATTCAACAGGCCTCTAAAGTAAGCTAGACCTCCCTTCCCTCTGTCATTCTCACAAAGGGAAGTGGAGGGGGACCAAGATGTCTAATCAGTCCCCAGACTTCCTCAGATGGAACAGGAGGGAACTGAGCCCAAATGGGGATGCCTGCCCTCAGCCCCCACCAGGATGCCCTCCTTATCCTGGGCACACACACATGCTTCTCTGTGGTTCTCTGTTGGGTTCTGTTGACGTGAGCGTCTTATCAAGTTTGGCTCCCTGGGAGCACCACCCTTCACATGCAGGAGTCATAACCTATCTCCCTGGGTGGAGGAAGTGTCCACATGAAGGTTTTTTGTATTTTATTTATTATTTTTATTTTATGTGTAAGAGTGTATTGCCTACATGTATGTAAGTGCACCTGTGTCATGCAGTGCCCACAGAGATGAGAAGAGGGAGTCATATCCCCTGGAACTGGAGTTACAGATGGCTGTTAGCCGACATATGAGGGGTGGGAACTGAACCTGGGTACTTTGTAAGAGCAGCCAGTGTCTTAACCACTGAGTCATCTCTCTAGCCACCCCTCCCCCCGAGTTCATTTTTAAAGTGTATCCTTGTGCATGCCCCTCAAATAAACAGCACCCACTGCAGCATTACCAGGCTCATAGACATCCCTTTTACTATCTTTTATTTAGTTTTGTATTTTTTGTCGTGCTGGGGATTGAAACCAGGGCCTTGTGCATGGCAATCAAGCACTCTACCATTGACCTGCATCCCCAGTTAATAGCTCTTGTATTGGTGGTTTATGGTTCCACAAGGTCCCCCTCCCTTCCTGAGGGCCTCATATATCAAGCTACACCTTTCCTAGCAAGACCCCCTTGCCCACCAGCCGTAGTGCCACTTCTGTCCCCTTGCTGGGGACCCACATCTCCTTCAGAATGGCTGTCTTGCCAGGGACCTTGGGCACCTAGGGAAAAAGACGTAGAGCAGGTGTCCCTCAAGAGACTAGGCTCTGGGTGCATGCTTACTGGGGCCAGAACAACAGCTGTAGGAATCGGGTCCTGGGAGGGGTCTGTGGAGGTGGTGGACTCAAGGTCTGCAGTCTCAGGCTCTTGGACACATCTCAAAAGCATCTCTGTAGATGTTTCCAGGGCCACAGTGATGTTGGAGACCTGGGTTGAGAGCTGTGGACCCCAGGAGGCTAGCGGAGCAGGTGTCCTCCCCAGAGGAAGCTGGCCAGGAGGAGCAGCAGGGCGGTGAGGAAGGAGCTGGGGAGATGCGAAGCCACTGCGTTGCACAGGTCCTGCTCACAGCACTGGTGCCTTAGAGCGTAGGAACGTAGCCAGTAGGTGGTGTGGCCCAGCAGAGGGCACTGTGCCCTTGGGAGGCAGCCTTTCCTCTCAATGGTCTCATTCCGGTCTGTGGGATGGAGGGGGAATGTTGAGGTGGGGGTGGGGGGCCAGGAAAAGAGGGAAGGAGAGTGGGGAGTTGCCGGGAGGGGAGAAGAGCCCTTGGACTAGAGTCCTACCTGAGGTGCCAATGCTGATGCCACAGACCTCGTCATCCTGGCACTCAGTGGGAACAGGGTAGCAAGGTTTGGCAAAGCTACAGGTGTAGCAGCGGAGCCATCCCTGGGAAGGGGAAGTGGCGAGACCTGTCGTGTAAGTGGAGATCAAGGCAGAGAGCAGGTGAGAGGCCAAGCCCAGATCTCTCAGAGGGACAAGCACAGAGGTGACACACAAAGGGAGGAGTGAGGAGCCATAAAACAGACAGACAGGAGTAGAAAACTAGAGGAGGGATGAGAGAGTGTGCAGGAAAAGAAACAGTCAGAAGCTGGAGGGCTACGGGGCCTGGGAGAGGCGCACAGACAGGAACACAAGCCAAGAGAAACAGAAGCCAACAGAGAGACACAAAAACTGGACCCAGGAGCCGAAGGGGGGAGAAAGTTAAGTAGTTGGTGCCAGAGCCTGAAATGGAAATCGGAGTTGGCATTGACCGAAGGGCTGCACAGAAGCAAGAGGTGGAGACGAGGGGGAAGAGATAGATCAAAGATTCAAAGATGTAGCAAGAAAAGACAGTGGTTCTCAAATACGGCCCTCCTCCCCGCTGCCCTTTGAGACAGAGTCTCCTGTAGCCCAGGCTGACCTGGTATTCTGGATCCTCCTGCCTCAGCCTCCCAACTAGCATCCGACAGCCTCCCAGCTCTCTTCACCTCAGCTAGTTCTTTCTCCTTTCCAGCTTTTGAGCTCCTATAAAAGCCCTTGCCCTAACCCCCTGCCCCTGTGGATCCTCCAGCCCACCCTTACCCAGTGGCCCAGAGAGAAACAGGATGCAGAGGAAGAGCCTGGAAGAACCCATGGTGGGAAGGCTCAGCAGTCTGAGAGAATCTGATCTGCACCCTGAGTTGGAGCACACCTGGCTCAGACAGGGAGGAACCAGTAAACAAACAAACCTTGTGAGAGAATCTGGGGTGTGGAAGAGTGAACAGTGACAGAATTCACAGTCCTGCTGCACCGGCCTGCCCTCTGCTCCTCACCCCTCCCTGCACTTGCCTTGAGGGTCTTCTCTGTGCCTTCAGTGTTTGTAACTCAGCTTAGCTGTCTGCCGCTCTGCCATGAGTTGTGTCTGTCGCTTTCTCTCCTGCTCCCCTCCCTCCCTCCTGTCTCAAGCTGTTCTCTGTTCTCTCTAATCTTTTCTTTTCTCTGTCTGTCCCCCTCAGAGCATGTGTGCCTCTCAAGATCACACTTCTAACCTGCCCTGGCCTAGATGTTAGAGTGAGCTGTTTGAATGTGGAATCAATAAAGCCCACCCACCCACTCCCACACCCCACCCCACCCATAAAGCCTGGCTGAGGGGCCCTGCCCCACCCAGCTCACATCCTTTTGATTCTAACCTCCCCCCATCCCAAGCCTCAACATTTCTACCCCATAATTATCCATCCAGGTTTACTGCCTTGCAGGAAAGAATTAATCACAAGAGCTAGGCTGGAAGGATGTATGCACTTCCTCTGGGAAGGAATTGGAAAGAATTGGAAGGGGGATGGATTTGATTCAGGGGGGGAAGACAGTAGTAGTCAGGGAGGATGGGGTTTAAGAGAGTGGGGACAGGGCTGAGGGTGTAGCGCAGTTTTAGAGAACTTGTCTAACATGTCGGTGCCCTGAGTTCCAGTCCCAGAACCAACAAGAGAAACAGTTCACCAAGAGGATTAAGACCAGGTAAGAGGGGCAGGAAAGGCCTGGGTACCCACAGAGCATCTCATGATTTCTTTACACCCTGAGGAATTACTGAGGACCCCAAAGAACTTTTCTTCATGTGAAGTTTATCAATATTTACTATACTGGAAATTAAAACAGAGGCTGGCAAGATGGATCAGCAGGTAAAAGCGCTGCCGTAAAAGCCTGACAACTTGAGTTCAATCCCTGGAAGCCATATAAAGGTAGATGAAGAGAATGACTCCCCAGAGATGTCCTCTGACCTCCACAAGTACACGCAGCATTTGGGCACCTGTACTTACATACACATTAAGCACACATACATATGCACTAATAATTTTTGTGGTGGCGCACACCTTTAATCCCAGCACTTGGGAGGCAGAGGCAGGCGGATCTCAGTGAGTTCGAGGCCAGCCTGGTATACATAGCTAGTTCCAGGTCAGCTGGGACTATAGGGAGACCCTGTCTCAAAAAGACAAAAAAAAAAAAAATTAAGAATTAAAAAAAATATTTATTTTTTATGTGTTTGAGTGTTTTGCCTGTGTGTGTTTGTGTATCACATGCCAGCCTCATGCTCTTGGAGGCCATAAGTGGGCAACAGATAGATCCTCTGGGGTTGTGAGCCACCATGTAGGTTCTGGGAACTGAGGAGCAGTAAGCACTCTTAACTGGTAGGCCCTCTCTCCAGCCCCTTTTAAATATTTATTATTTTTATTTTATGTGTGTGAGTATATTGTCTGCCTGTATGTAAGTGTACCCATGTCATGCAATGCCCTTGGAGGTCTGAAGAGAGCACTGAATTCCTTTGGAACTGGAGTTAAGGACATATTAGCTACTATGTGGGCACTGGGAATCCAACCTGGGTCCTCTGCAAGAGTAACCAGTGCTCTTAACTGCTGAGCCATCTCTCCAGCTCCCTCCAGCCTCTTTTAAAACGTTTTTTTTTTTTTTTAATTGTTGTTGTTTTTTTGGTCTTTTTGAGACACGATTTCCCTGTAGCCCCAGTTGTCCTGGAACTCACTATGTGGACCAGGCTGGCCTTGAATTCACAGAGATCCACCTGCCTCTGCTTCCGGAGTGCTGGGACTAAAGGTGTACCCCACCACGCCTGGCTGTTTTTTGTTTTTTTTTTTTCTTTTTTTGAGACAGGGTCTCCTTGTAGCCCCAGCTGTCCTGGAACTCACTATGTAGACCAGGCTGACCTCGAACTCACAAAGATCTGCCTGCCTCTGCCTCCCAAGTGCTGGGATTAAAGGCATGCACCACCACACCCGGCTTTAAGGGTTTTTTTTTTTTTGTTGAGATAGGGTCTCCCTGTAGCTCCAGCTTGCCTGGAACTTGCTAGTAGACCCGGCTAGCCTTGATCTCACAGAGATCCGCCTGCCTCTTCCTCCCAAGTGCTGAAATTAAAGGCATGCACCACCATGCCTGGCATTTATTTTTATTTATGTGTATGCATGTGTGTCCATGTGTGCGTATATATACATGAGTGCAGTTGCCTACAGAGGCCAAAGAGGACATTGGATCCCCTGGAGCTGGAGTTACAGCTACCTAATATGGGTGCTGAGAACCAAAGTCAGGTCCTCTGAAAGAGCAGCAAGTACTCTTAATTGCTGAGCTATCTCATCAACCTTAAATACATTTTAAAGGAAGAAATTAAGATAGGAAACCATGTGTAATGGTTCACATCTGTAATCACAGCACACATTAGGACAAGGCAAGAAGACCCCAAGTTTGAGGCCAGCCTGAACTACATAGCGAGCTCTAGGTCAGCCTGGACTACAATGCAAAAACCTGCCTCCAAAAAGCAAAACACACTAAAAGCACACACTAAATGGATGAATGTGATTTAAAACAACAAAAGGAATTAAAACAGGACATTTTAAATTGGTCTTGAAGCCAGGGATGGGGATGCATGTCTATAATCCCAGCACATGGGAGGCAAAGGCAGGCAGATCTCTGTGAGATCCAGGTCAGCCTGGTCTACATAGCGAGTTTCAGGCTTGCTGGGGCTACAGGGAGATCCTGTCTCAAAACCCAATACAAATAAACAAGCAACAACAGCAAAAATATAGCTAAATAAATAAAATATACATCATGTGATTTGTTTAACATAAAAACAACAAACCTATTATAAGTTAGCAAACATAGTTTTATAAAAACTAATAATTAGCTCTGGACCACACAGGGAGAAGACTGGCATTGTTTTACATTTTTGAGAATCCATTTGATGCCAATTATAATAAAAGGTGTCTGCGTTTTCATAACCTACTTCTGTGTTCCATCTGGACTGTGTTGTCTTGAAGTGTATGAACAAAATCCAATTCTTACGAAGAGATGAATTGGAAAAGGAAGACCATTAAGGAGCCTTTGAAAGAGGTTAGGGACCCCCGCCCCACTCCAAGGGGAGTTTGATTCACCATTCTAGAGCTGGTGCTGAGGATGGAAAAGTTTGGGGCTTCAGAGGACGCTGAGAGCATCCGTGGGGCCCCTCCCTGTCCCCTTTGGGGCCCTGGTGCTTGCTGGGGGAGACTCTTTCCTCCCCTTTTATAGCCCTATAAAGCGCAAGGCAAGGGGGATATAAGGCTGGCCAAACAGGGCTTGGGAGGGGGGTGGGCGGGAGGGAGAGGCGCTACTGGCAGGAGCAGACATGATGAACCCCCAGTTGGTCGGGATTCTTCTGAGCACCCTACTGGGCGCTGCCTTGGGTAAGGAAAAAGCCAACTTGCCGCTGGCACAGGCTTGTTCTCTGCCAGTTGCTCCTCTGAGGGGCCTGGGTCCAGTGCCTCTTCTCTCCTGCCAGGAAACAGGATGCGGTGCTACGACTGTGGTGGAGGCCCCAGCAGCTCCTGCAAGCAGACGGTGATCACCTGCGGAGAAGGTGAGCGATGTGGCTTCCTGGAGCGCAAACCCCAACCCGGCCTGGGACAGGTCAAGCAACGTGAGTCCTGGGTCTCTCCCTCTTCTCTCTACCTCCAGCCCTCCCCTCTTCAATCTTGCTGGCTTCCAGATCTTTCCAGATTCAGTCTGACTCTGGGCAGATGGTGCCACTGTTGTAGCATTGCAGTCTGTACCCCTTCTGGCTCCTGGCACTGAGCCCCCAGCAGCCTGGGGTTCTCAGGCACTGATCTCCCACCCTTTGCTCCCCCAGAAAGAACCTGATAGAACCTCACCAAGGAAGATACTCTGTCTTCTAAGACAGGAACCAAAATATTAAATCAAACTTCAATTTCTGGGGACTAAGGACTGGGGAAGTCTGTCCATGAATGTGGGGTGTGGGGGGGCGTATTTTTTCCATTTAAAAATCACTTTGGAGCTGGGCATGGTGGCGCTCACCTTTAATCCCAGCACTGGGGAGGCAGAGGCAGGCGGATCTCTGTGAGTTGGGAGACCCTGTCTCAAGAAGACCAAAAAAAAAAAATCACTTTGGCTTGACAGTTCCTCTATCTCCCCAGCTTTTAATACTAACATCTCAGTGCAGTTATCAAAATTAGAAAACCATGGTGGCATTTAATCTCAGTTCTTGGGAAGCAAAGGCACGTAGATCTCCGTAAGATTGAGGCCAGCCTGCTCTATATAGTTCCATATAGTGAGTTACAGGGCAGCTGAGGCTACAGGGAGATGCTGTCTAAAAGAAAAGAAAAGAAAACAAACAAAAGCCCAGAAACTGTTGGTGCTGATTAATTCTGACTGTAGCTTAGACAAAAGGCTCATCAAGTCTTTTACACTGGCCTGACTCAAATCAGGACACTTCATTGTGTCTATTTATTTTTGAGACAGGGTCTCATGTATCCTAGGCTGGCCTTGAACTGGCAGCGTAGCTAAGGATGACCTTGAACTTGTGATCCTCCTGCCTCTCTACTTCCCATGTTAGATCTGTTTATTCGGTGCTAGACAGCAAAGTTAGGGCTTTATGCAAGCGTGCTACAAAGTGAGCTACATGCCCAGCCCTATTTCTTTTCTTTTCTTTTCTTTCTTTTTTCTTTTTTCCTTTTTTTTTTTTTTTTGTTTTTTTGTTTTTTTTTCTTTTTGAGACAGGGTCTCCCTGTATCCCCAGTTGGCCTGGAACTCACTATGTAGACCAGGCTGGCCTTGAACTCCCAACGATCTGCCCGCTTCTGCCTCCCAAGTGCTGGGACTCAAGGTGTGTGCCACCATGCCTAGCTCAGCCCTATTGCTTGTTGAGACAGGGTCTCAATATGTAGTCTGGGCTTGCTTTGAACTCAATATATTCATTCACTAGGCTGACTCTGAACTCCTGGCAATCCTCTGCTTCAGTCTCCTGAGTAGCTGGGATTATAGGTATCCACCACTCTGCCCAGGTTTTTTATTTGTTTTTTTTTTTGCTTGTTGGTTTGGTCTTTTTGAGACAGGGTCTCCCTGTAGCCTCAGCTGGCCTGGAACTCACTATGTAGACCAGGCTGGCCTTGAACTCACAGAGATCTGCTTAGCTCTGCTGGGATTAAAGGCATGTGCCACTATGCCTCGCTGTTTTTTTTGTTTTTGTTTTTGTTTTTCCTGATAGGTTACCCTATAAACTGTCCCTTTGGATTCAGCGACAGGTTTATTTATTTATTTTAATTTTATGTGTATGTGTGTATTGCCTGCATGTAGGTAAGTGCACCCATGTTGTGCAATGCCCGCAGAGGTCAGAAGAGGCTGTCGAATTCCCTGGGACTGGAGTTACAAATAGTTGTTAGCTGCCATGTGGGTGTTGGGATTCGAACCTAGGTCTTCTGCAAGAACAACCGGTGTTCTTAACTGCTGAGCCATCTCTCTAGCCCCACAGCCACAGTTTTACATCATGAGACTGAGGTCATATGTTTTAGGCAGGAATGCCACTGAAGTGATGCTGCGTTCTTAGGACATCACAGTACCACTGCCCTGCGTTAGTGTGTTGACTTTGATCACTTAGTTTCAGTGAGGTGTTTTTTGAGGGGGCAGAATATCTCTTTGGGTCCCTGGAAATCACATCTGGTCTCCCACAGAAGGCAAGTCCTGAAGCCAGGAGTCCAACACCCCAGTGTCATTCTCTCTCTCAGCCTCAGTGACCTTGAGTCATCACCCAGACTGCGTGGCCACCCATCATTGCAACCAAGCGGACACAGAGTCAGTGAGAGACGTGACCCACAAGAACTGCTGCTTCGGAGACCTGTGCAACAGCGCCACCACGGCAGGCACCGTGGCCCCCGCCTGTATCTTGGCTGCAGCCTTCACCACCCTGGCCTGGCTCTTGCCAGGACTGTAGAGCAAGTTGGAGCAAGGGTAGGGAAGGGAGTGAGGGAGCAAGGGAGTGAGGGAGCTGAGCATCCAAGGTGAGGAGACAAACACTCTTCTGTGAGCCATTAAAATCTATGGACAATTCTAGAACCGACTGGAAAATTCCATCCATCTTTTGTTAATGAGAAGGCTGAAGGGTTAACCTGTGTGTATCTGGCTTCTAGTTTTGGGGTTAACAATCCATCAGTGGACCTGGATACATAGATGCACTCCTCATCCAAGGATAATCCCCAAAAACAATGGAAAAATCTGTTCTCAGTGGTTCCTGGAACCTTTTGCTAGGGAGACTCTTCCACAGTAACAAGGGGTCACTGAGGAGAAGGAGCACTGGGCTGAGTGGAGGGTCACTGGGGTGCTATGGTCCAGGCGTCTGACTTTGTCTCCCTTTCTTCACTTTATAGCTGAACTCTCAGTAGGACTATTTTGAAATGAGAAAAGAAATGTACACCCCATGCTTAGAGAGTTGCTTGGCTAGCCCAGTTAGTAGATCACCTGAGAACCCAAAGAGGCCACATCGCTGTCTGTAACGTACCTCTCCTGGCCTCTTCTGGGGAGCCCTCAAGCTAGGCCGCACCTGCTTCTTGGCAGTTGGTCAGGGTGTGGTCTAAATTTAGGATAAGGGCTGTTTCCCCAAACACTGGTGCCTGTGTGCCACCCTCAGATGCTGGGAGAGAGGGAGCCTGAAAAACCTGCTTTTCTGTTTGGTCAGCCCAGCCATGTAGGGAGAGTCCCTGAATAATTCTTGGGTCAGGGGAAAGAGCGGAGCTTATCATTTCCAGGGAGGGGTGCCTACATACATAGGTCTGTTAGGTTTGGGGGGTTGTTTTTGGTCTTTTTGAGACAGGGTCTCCCTGTAGCCCCAGTTGACCTAGAACTCAGTACATAGACCAGGCTGGCCTTGAACTCCCAGAGATCAGCATGCCTCTGTCTCCCAGAGTGCCAGGATTAAAGGCATGTGCCACCACGCCTGGCTTTCTGCCCTTTCTTTCTGAGACAGGATTCATGTGGCTCAGGCTGGCCTAAAACTTGCTATATAGCCAAGGACAGCCTTAAATGCCTGATCTTCCTACTCTACCTCCCAAGTATTGGGATTACAGACATAAACCACCTTACCCAGCTTAACACTTAGGTCTCCTGACAATAAACACACAATTTATTAGACATCAACTTTTTATTACTCAAGTTGGAAAGAGATGAACAGAGGGTTTGGTGAATCAGCCCCATGTGGTGAGGTCATCGGTTCCTTTCCAGGAGTGTTCACTGGAGACAAGACAGTAGTCTTTCCAGATCCAGGTCCCAGAGGCGTCATCGTGTGCATCAGACAGAGTAGGGAGCCCTTTCAGTGGCCAGTGGAGGAGGTAAAGTGGTCTAGAGAGAAATGGGAAAGGACTTGGGAAAAAAAGGAGCAGAGGGTGCAGGATGAGAGGGGTGGCTAGGAAGACCGCTCTGGGCACTCTCTCATGAAAGAACTGGGACAGGACTGGGGAAATGATCTTTGCAGGGGTGAGGGGAGAACATTCTGGAAAGCCAGGGGCCCTAAGGAGAGAGGCTCTGTCTATGGCAGGTGGGAGGAGGTACAGTTACAGAGTGAATCTCAGTGCAACAGCCAGAGGCCAAGGCCAGCCAAGGAGGTGAGGGAGACCAGGGCCAGTGCAGGTGTGGGCCGGGGAGCTGGGCTGTTGCAGTTATCCTTGTTACAGCAGGTGGTGTTGTAGTTTAGGCCCAGCTTGTGGTTGGTTTGGTTGTAGGCCTCCCGACAAGGCTCCTCTGGTGTGCCACAGCGCAGGTTAGAGAAAACCCACATCTTCCCTGGGGTGGAAGCAGCGAGGGAGGGGAATGAGAGCGGGCACTCAGCGTGCCTGTGTCCGTTTGCCACCCTGTACATCTATGCCTTGCTTCCCAAAGTTGCCTGGCTCTGCCCCTCTTTTCCTCCTCTCAGTCTAGTCTTCCTGTTTTTCCTTAGCCTAAGCCCCTAACCCTGTTTCTAGCACCATCACCCACATCATAGGGTGACCACGAGCACTCACTGACACCATACCTGTAGAGACAGGTCGGCGCCTGGCACATAATCATCTTTGGCCAAGTGTTGTCACTGCAGTAGTTTTCTATCTTAGCCCTAGATGGGCTTCAGTACCAGACGGCCTCTCCCACCGAATCCCTCCCTTCCAGAGAAGGGGATGTTACCGAGGTACACATTCGTTGTGAGGCATTGTTGTCCTGGCTCCAGGCGGCAGGACTGACGATCTACACAGCCCAGCACGGGGACCTTGTAGCAGGCATGACAGCGAATGTCAGCTGGGGAGACAACAAGTCAGGTTGAGGTGATGGACGTGAGTCACCTGGGGACCAGTTGAGCTAGGGATGAGGGTGGAGAGTTGCCCATTAAGCAGACAACAGGTGCTCTGACTGGTTTCATTCATAGGGAGACAGAGCAGGTGACTGATAGGGTGAAAGTGATGAGTGGGAGTTGGGTGGGGGCATTTGTTCTTTGTGGAAACTACACACCCTAAATATCTTCCTCCACCCCAGCCCCTTTGGGGTGAGTCAAGAGGAGCAGAGTAGTAACAAAAACACAGGTCTGGGGATAGTGCCATGTAAGGAAACTGGGGGTGGAGTTGGGGGGAGGATAAAGACTTGAAATGGGAAGAAATGGGGAAAATAAAAAAGTGTCACGGTGTGTTCAGAGATGGCATGGAATTGAGGCTGAGAAAACCACCTGGGACCAGCTTGAGAAATTTACTTCATCTCTGTCAAGAGTGTGGGAGGAACCAGTCTTGAATGGAATCTCTCTACTACTGTCCTGTCTCTGTCTGTGACAGAAGGGATAATACCTGGGAGACAGATCATCAGGCTGTCTTAGCACCCAACCAAAATGGAGAGGGTGGGTACAGAAGGTGGCGCCCCAGAGTTCCCGTTTTGGCTAATTCAAGGGTTGAGCATGCAAGGTTTCATGAAGGACCGATCAGCCCAAGGATAAAGGAACCTAGTGTGCCTCCAGGAAACTCACCTCACCTTAGGAGTGAGTGGTCCCTGGAAGCCTCAGGAAAATTCCCTGATTCCCTGGGAGGCTGTATGAGGTCATTGGAACCATCCAGAAAGCTCTGCACCTCAGTAGGAGTGAAGGTATGTAACCCAGGGAAGAGTAGGAACAAGATAGGGTGGGCCACTGCTGAGTGCCTCAATCACTGGCAGACTGGGGTCCTTGAGAAGACACCCTGCTCAGTACAGGAGGTGGGAGAAGACAGGTAAACTGGATCCCGGAAAGCTGCGTGTTGGAATGGGGCTGGTCAGGGAGCTGGATATCAGAGTGTCCAGGAAGGAGGCACGTTGGAGTGGGAAATAAGACGGCAGGTGAGAAGAGTGAACTACTTGGGGGTAGGAGACTATGATGATGGAGGTCTGGGTTCTTAATGATGGACCAAAGATCCTGGAGTGACACGTGAGTAATCCCAGAGCTTGGGAGGTGAAAGGCAGGTGAATCGGGAGTTCAAAGCCAGCTTTGGTTATGTGTAATCCTGCCCACCCTTCCATTCCCCCCCTCAAAAAATAAAAGAAATAAAGGGAAAAGAGGAAGGACTTGAGGAAGGAAAAGAAGGGAGGGAGGAAGAAAAGAAGAAAGGAAGGAAGGAAAGGAAGTTGGAGCAAGGAGCCCATCACACTCTGACAACTGGTCCTGGAAACACGGGGGCCTAAGCCAGGTAGGACTGAGGCTGCTTGTGGTCCTGAGTAGAGGGGAATGTGGAGCAGTGGGTGGGGTGGGGGTCAAGGTCTTGACTGGTGAACCAGGTCCTCGGGGCCCCCAGGTACTCACCTGAAACCCAGCAGCAGAGTAGTACTGACAAGGTGAGCAGCAGCAGACATTTCATGGTGAGGGTCCTGAGGGTGTTGGCAGCCCCAGCAGCTGACAGAAGATGCTCAGGGATCTGGCTCTGGGAGTTGAGGGCCTTCTTGGAATTTATAATCCCAAAGGCCCCTCCCTTCCAGGCCTCTGCCCTCTGTGGCACCTCCTTCCCAATTTATACCCAGCTGACCAAAGAGAAAGGCCAGAGGTGGGGAGGGCCCAAGCAGGCCTGGGGAGGGAAGGGCGATACGAGACGGAGATGGGGAAGGACAAGCATGAGTAGGGGTCAACTCCATTTTGGTTCTTGGTTTCAGGACCCCCAGATGAGAACCCTACTCCCCAGTTCTACATAACACCATCATCAATGGCCTTTGTGACTTAACCAACCAACTGCTAGCTTTTGCTCCTTCCTAAGAAATGGACAGTGAGATGTGGGCCAAGTTGATCATCAACTTTGGATCCCTAGGGGGCACCGGTTAGGGACAGGCATGCAGGTAGAAATTAATTATGAAGTGGACTGAATTAATCTAGAATTGATGCTCAATCACAGGATAAAGGTTTGTGGCATTATGGAGGGTTTCTGTGATGTCATTGGGGGGGTTGTGTATCCAGGAGGACCACACTGGCTTGTCTTAAGGCTACCTGAAAGGGTCACAGGACCTCCCACCAACTGGGCTTGGGCTTGGGAGGGGCACCCAGGTAGGGAGGAACAGCATGGACACCCAGAGGTGGGGTAGGCACTAAAATAAGGATAATAATGATGGGCAGGCACTGAGTGTTCCTGTATGGCAGCCATTGTTTTGACATCTTTTGTGTACTTAGTTCTCACAATATGCTAAGAAATAGTTTTCCTCTCCATTTTCCTGGTGAGGGACTAGGCAGAGGCTAAAGTATCTTCCTCACATTGCAGACCTACTAGATGGTAAAATCATGGCGCTGATTTTAAATTCAGAGAGCCGAATTTGTGGTGCTGGAAGATTGGGGGGGGGATGGACACTGGACGATGACGACTGGGACAGCACCCTACCCTGGAGGAGTTAAGCAGGCAAAAGTCCAGCACAGAAAGAAGCAAAAGGCACCAGCAAAAATTTTAACAAACAGTTTGACGGCTGTGAGTCGGCCAGTGAGGATTCCCAGACCGATCCAGGAGCTGCCCCCCCCACCCCCGCACCGTCCCGCACGCGCTCTTATCAGAGCCTCCAAGTCCCAGAGTACCCGCCCCTGCCCCTCGGTTTTCCCATCCTGTTTCCCTTGCTGATTCACCCTTGGCCTCTCCGGATCACATCCCAAGTCATGGCTCTGGCTCTGCACTTGCTGCCTCTGTTGCTCTTCAAGGCCCAGGGGGACCCCGGGGGTAAGCCAGCCCTGGGAAGTTGTGTAGGGCCCAGAAAGACAAGGCAGGGAAGGGGTGCCTGTGGAGCGGGGTGAGTGTGGACGGATCCAGAAAGGTGGAAGAGGTGTATGTGAGTGGTGCGGGGTTGGCTGGCCCTGGGCACTAAACATCTAACAGGCGCGCCTCCCTCCCCCACCCCACCCCCAGCCTCTCTGGAGGGCCGCCCTGGGGACAAGGTGAATCTCTCCTGCATTGGGGTGTCACGCCCCACCCGCTGGGCTTGGGCACCTAGCTTCCCAGCTTGCAAAGGCTTGTCTAAAGGGCGCCGCCGGATCCTGTGGGCCTCGTCCAGCGGGACCCCAACGGTGCCTCCGATCCAGCGCTTCTCCGGCCGCCTACGCGCCCTGGACCCCGGGATCCAGAGGCTGGAGCTGCTGCTGAGCGCCGGGGATTCGGGCACTTTCTTCTGCAAGGGGCGGCAAGAGAACGAGAGCCGCACGCTGCTGCACGTGCTGGGGGACAAGGCAGGTTGCAGGGCCTCGGGGTCCAGCCAGGGTAAGTCGAGGCCCAAGCGCACAGGGAGACACCTGGCACAGGGATGGGGCGGGGTCGTACCCCTGACTTTGGCATCCCTCCCCACCACGCGGTTCCCCCAGGGTCCGTGTATCTCCAGGTCCTGATCTCGCTGCTGGGTGCAGGGTTGGTGTTCGGACTGGGAGCCTTGGGCGTGGTCTGGTGGCGACGCAGGTGAACACGAGAGGCGTGGCCTGGATCGAGGGGGCGTGGCCTGGATCGCCTCTAGAGGGCGTGACCAGAGATGGGAGGGCGGTGGCTCGGGATCCGAAACTGCGCAGAGAGAATGAACTAAATGGAAAGCCGGGTGGTGGTTTGGAGTGTGACATGTCGGCTCTTGGCAGCCTGGGGTAGGGGAACGGAATTAGAAGGACAGATGGACCACAGATGGACCTGGTGGGGCGGAGCCTAAGTTGTTTTGCGAGTCGGAGACTGAGGGTTGCACGGTTCTCATTGGCGCGGAGGAGAACCAGTGCGACGAGATTGGTGACTTTCGAACCACTTTGATGCTTCCGGACAGGCGCTCGTCCCCGTCCCGACCTGGACCACTCCCCACATTTGGTGAGACTTAACCGCACCCCATTTTCCTCCCTCCTACCCGCACATTCCCTAAGCTTGAATCCTTGTCTGAGCGCTTGCGAGGGTGGGGGGAGTTGGTCATTATCTCTTAACCCTTCAATTCTCCCCCCCCCACACCCCTCACATCTCCAGTCCTGAATGTGCAGCCCCAAAGGCCCTTAGAGCAGAAGCCCAAGATTCCAGGCGACCTGGATCAGGAGCCGGTAAGGGCTTAGGGAATAGGAAGAGGGCAGGCCAGAATCCCGGAGGAAAGTCAGAATCCTGGAGGAAAGTGAGCCAAGAAAAGTCTAGACCGGGGTGTTGTGGCACAGCCTGTAATCCCAGCACTCTGGAGACTGAGGCAGGAGGATGGAGGCTAGCCTGTGCTAACCAGGCTCCCCTACCCATTGGGAGAAGGAAACATTGATTTCAAGGGGTCAGACTACCTCCTCTTCCTCCTTCAGAGCCTGCACTATGCGGATCTTGACCCCACTGCCCTGCGGAGGCCCCGCCGGCTGCCTTCAGTGGTCCCTGCTGATAATGCCACTGTCTATGCAGTTGTAGTTTGAAGGGAAGTCCTTCCTCTAGACCTGGGCCCGGGGCGGGGGGGGGGTGGGGGGGGGGGGGGGGGGGGGGGAGCTCCCAGCTCTCTTTAACCTCCCTCACCTGGAAGAGGAAGGCACCATAGGATATAAAGGAACAATAGTCTGGGAGGATGGAGACCTGTGTTGTATGTGGTCTCTGCCGCCTAGTTTTGCTCCTTCACTACTGATGACCTCTCTAAACCTGATCAAGCCATCTGCCTGTCTTAAGGCATCATTAAATCCCACATAGTTCCGCTAAACCTTCCCTTTCCTGTCAGGCTTTTGGAATGTTGGACAATACACCTGGCTGTTCGTTTCTTCTCCACTGTCTCTGTTCATTGGCTGGAATTGCTTATCAACTCTCCCTAAGGTCGCCAGTGATGCCCTAGTAGGCATGTCAGTACTCACTGGCTTGACCTCAGAATACTCCCTCTTCTAAACCCTGACTTATGTTGCTGCTGTTATCTTCAAGACTCCCTACCATTCTGTTTGACCTCTTCTGGGAAGTTCTTATCTGTAACTAACCCTCAGCCCCCAAAGGACACCCCAAACTCCCTCCAACCTAGATCTCAGATCTAGGACATAGTTAAATGGGCCCCAGGCATTTTTGCACAATGCATATCAAACCCAACTCAGTCATTTCCCAAGCCAAGTTGCCCAAACTAGAAACTGGGAGTCATAGCACACACCACCTTCTTCTCCCTACCTCCCACGGGGTCATGGAGCTGCACGGAGTCATGGAGCCGTGCCTTTCTTTTTTGAGGCAGGGTCTCAGGTAGCTGAGGCTGACCTTGAACTCCTGATCCTCCTGCCTCTGTCTCAGTGCTTGGATGACAGGTGGGCACTCTAATCTCAGAACAAGAGTTCTCTCCTGAGGCTTCTGAACCATGGGCACTGACTGGTACAGGTGCCATAGCACTTTGCCCACACTTAGGCTTATCTGTCAATTGTTATCCCCTATATGTCCACCTATGCCCTGGCCCAGTGCAGTTCCACCTTCCTGGAGTCTTTTCCTCCTCCCCACTCCCTGCCCAGCTAATTCTTTATTCCCAGGACTTTGTTCAAATGTATCTTTTTCTGGGAAGATCTTCCTGACTCCCCCTCCCTTGTCCACTTTGATGCTTTACGAAACCCCCGATTTTTCTCATGGAAACATCCTATCACAGCTCTTCTCTCAATTTGTAAGAAATTGTCAGGAACTGTGAGTTTCTTGACTTTGAGAGACCAATCCTTTGGGTATCGCTGTTAAGTCTCAGTAAATGAATTGAATGAAAAAGTGTCCCTAAATAATACTGTTTCTTCTTTTATCAAATAAAGGTGGACTGGCAATATGAGTGTCTCAATCATCTAACATTTAGATCATTAAAAGATCCACCCAAAAAACAATAATAAAGGAAAAAGAGAGATCCACCCAAGTATCCCCTTTTCTGCCTGGACATGCTGTCCATAAAAAAACTCTTATTTTGTCCCTCCTGTGCTTCCTATGGGAGAGTTGGGCAATGAGTCAGGAAGTGCATAGAGGGTTTTTTAATTAAAGAGTCCTCCCTGGGAGCACTTCCCGGGAGCACTGGCCCCCAATGCCAGGTTTCAACCCCACCCCATCCCTTTGCCCCAGTGAGACATCAGCCACAGGCCGTTCTAAAAGGCCTATTCTGTTTTATTGGTTCTGACAGAGAGCCCAGTGGCTCCAGTCTTTTGTCCTCCACTATGCCCTCCCCTACCCTTGGGGCATCACCCCACTTCTACCCTCCCTATCCCCTATCTCTCCCTTCTACCAACTATGTGACCCTAACCCCTGGTCAGTTGGAGCCCCAAGGCCAGGTTCTCAGCTGTGGGGGCGGGTGCTGAGCACCAGGCAGAGGGAGCTGAGACCGGCACCAGCTTTCTCCAGTTCTGAGCAGGACACAGGTACCAGGGTGACGTCAGAGAGCTTCTGTAGGGCCTGCAGGAAGGACACCAAGAGGGGTGTTTAGTGGCCAGAGCCACACCCCCTTCCAGACGCTCCCTAGTGGCCTCACCCAGGCTTCTAGAGAAAGGACCCCTCTTTCCTCCCACTAGGAAAGACTGAGATTTCATTCTCCGGTGGGTGGAGCTTTCGCTCCGCCCTCACCTCCTGGCTGTTCGGCAGGTCCCCACCCCCGCGGTGCAAGAGAAAAGGGGTGGCACCAGGCAACCCAGGACGCAGGAAGAGGCAGTCAGCAGCCGCATCATCAGGGAGGGTCAGAGAGGCATAGGGGTGGTCCGTCAGCACAGCCATGGCCTGTAGAGAGGAAGGAGGGTGTTGAGAGCCTTGACCTCCCACGAAGGAAGGGCTTGGGACAAGGATAATGGACGCTCGTTGTGCAAGACTCGGTCTGTCCTATGCGCTTTAGCCACTTTTGCTAATTTCTACCTCCTACTCTCGTTTTTTTATTTACTAAAGTTCACAGCTAGCTTGATGAGGTCAAGGGTTGGGAGTAATTTCCTGGGCAGACGTGCTTCCTGCCGCCCCGCCCCCTACAGGAGGCCACGCCCATATTCGTTTGCCAAGCTCGGTCGCCACCAGCCACGCCCCTCCTCACCCTGACTGCCTTTTGGGCTGCATCGCTGCTTCCAGCCACCACTGTGCGGGGTCCCCCCATGCCGCAGAGGCCGCGCAGGTGGGAGGCGCCCGAGACCGGCACGGTGGAGACAGCGAAATCCTGGGGAGGGCAAGGTGGGGAGGGATTCAGGGGTCAAGCCCACTGGCACCTGAGTCTTGCTCCCCGCTCCCCAGTGCTGCTCCAGGCTCCTCACCCGGAACGTGTCTGCCACGATCTCAGCTCCGCGGTGATTGGTCCACTTGGAGAGGCCTACGAAAAACTCCCGGCCTGACCCCCCCGGGGAAGGCCACGCAGGTGTGAGGACCGGAGTGGATTTGGAGACCAGACCCCGGATGGCCTAGTCTCTCCCGAACTCTTGTTTCCCTGTACCAAGCCCCGGAAGGATGCTGAGCATCCTCAGCCTCACCCGTGAAGAGAACATCGGTGCCATCCAGCGTGGCGCTCTCATCCCCCATCTCCACGATCCGGAGTCCCAGGTCCTGGAGGGCTTTGCGCACGCCATCAATCTTGGAGAAGACCAGGGTGGGCTGAGATACCCCAACTCCACACTTCCCGAAATGCCCAGACATCCAGTTGCGCCCGCGGCGCGCCCTGGCCCCTATCACACTCCCACCCTGGCGCTCACCTCGGGCCTGCGTGCTGCACTCCAGGGCCGTGTGATGAGGGCCGTGTCTCCTTGGATCACCGCCGTGTCCCCCAGCAGGGGTCCCAGTGGCAGCGATTCCTCCGGAGGAAGTTCCAGTAGCTGCAGCCCAAGGCGCTGCCTCAGTTTACCTCCGAGTACTCCATGCTCCCTTTGAGCTTTAGCCAGGTCCAGAGCTGGAAGGCCAGCCCCAGCACCCTCCCCGGATGCTAGACTCTCGGGGACACCCCGGATCAGGGCATGGGAGCAGCGACCCAGCCCCTCCCCCGGCGTCCCCATCCCATCCACACGGACGCCCCTTCCGGCCAAGCTGATTTCTGGTTTCTTTTTTGCTGGTCTGCGAGTAGAGGCAGGAAGTGGGGTGGGGGCAGAAAAAGAGAAAGGGAGGGCAACAGTGTCTCCCCCCACCATCTCCAGGCGTCGCTCCCGCCCCCCTCCC